TGCTGCTTAAGGGGGTAGGTTTTGAACGAGTAATTAGGAAAAAAAATAAATGCAGGAATCCGAACACAATCTTTTAAGGAAAGGTGGAATTGTCCCCTGGGCCTGTTTGCTTTGGGCACAGTGTTCCTGTAGCTCTGTGCTGGTGTCCCAGGAGCTGTGCCTGGCTCTGTGCTGTGCAGGTTCCCTGGGGACAGACACGGTGCCTTTGTCCTGTGCAGGCCATCCCGTGCCTCTGTCACCTTTGCCTTCTTTCCCTTTACCTTTTTCCTGTTGCTGTTGTTTCCTGACAGACGGGGAGGATCTGGATGTGCTGCCAACTCAGGAGTGTCAGAGCAGCCCTTTCCACACCAGTCACTGTGCTGGTGAACCCCCCGTGCCAGGAAACCTGGTTGGCCTTCACCTTTGTTTGCTGCCTTTTCTGTTGGTTCCCCAAGGGAGCACTTGCCTCTGGAATTTCAATCCATGGCAGCAGGGGATGGCACTGAAAGCACTTTGGGAATGTGTGTGAGCTGGACAGCCTTGCTCTGGGACTTGGGGGTTCCCTCCAGGCTCTCCTTGGAGGTGTGAGGGTCTGCAGGGCACAACTGGCACTGGCATGGATGGGGAGTGTTAATTCCTTCTCTCCTTTGCGTTGGCATCTGCTGCAAGGAGCCCATCCTGCAGCTGATCCTCACAGGAGGAGCTCCAGGGCTCCCCCATGGGTGAGTCCTGCCTCGGTTGCCTCCCCCACTTTCCATCAGGCCCCCCCTCGCCCTCCCTTGGCGTGTTTTGATGGCCTCAGTACCGTGGGGGGTTTGCAGGATTGTTCACTTTGCTGTTCCCATTCAGAGGCGACTCCCGTTTCTGGAGGAAACCTCCCTTTTGATGGATTCCTCTGCTCCGTTGGCTTGGCTGCTCCAGCTTTGTGCAGGGGCCTCTTGGAGGCTGGTTTTTCATTTCTGCCGTGCCTTTACTCCGAGTTTCTACCGTGATCTTGTGAAATGCACTCCCTGCTGCCTGCAGCACGTTACCTTTTCAGCTGCTGCTTTTTAATTTCCTTTCAGCCCTTTCTCGTTTGTGTTGCTCGTCGATGAAGAATTTGGGGCTTTTTTTGGCTCTTAAGGGATTGCTGAATGTAAGTTCTTTATTGTTATTATTGCAGTTGAATAGATTGAGTATTGAATAGATCTTGTCTGTCATCCTGTGCATTGCTGAGGGTTGAATCCGAAGCTCTGAGCTCTTTCTTCCTTCCAGAAGGAGTCGTCCGTGCTGCCGAGGAGCTGCACTGCTTCCTTTCAGGAGTTGTTCCTGAGGCTTTGATTATTGTGATCAGAGCTTATAATTGTGTGGAAGAAATGATCCCTTGTAACTGCAAACTGCAAACCAGAGAGAGCAGCTTGTTCTGAAAGCTGCTCCCACCCTGCCCTTCTCCGAGCCCCGGGTGCCTCCTTCGGCTCCTTGGGATCCCTCACGGATCATGGGATGGTTGGGGTTGGATGGACCTTAGAAACCATCTTGTTCCACCCCCTGCCATGGGCAGGGACACCTTCCACTAGCCCAGGTTGCTCCAACCTGGCCTTGGACACTTCCAGGGATCCAGGGGCAGCCACAGCTTCTCTGGGCCTCTCTGGCCTCCCCACCCTCCCAGGGAAGAATTTCTTCCTAATATCTAATCTAAATTCTCAGTTTGAAGCCATTCCCTGTGTTCTGTCCCTCCAGGCCTTTGAAAACAGTCTCTCTCCATCTCTCCTGTTGGCTCCTTCAGGCACTGAAAGGCCACAATCAGGTCACCCCAAAGCTTCTCTTCTCCAGGCTGAACAATCCCAGCTCTCCCAGCCTTCCCTCCCAGCAGAGCTGTTCCATCCCTCGGATCCTCTTGGTGCCTCCTCTGGACTCTCTCCAGCAGCTCCATGTCCTTGCTGTGCTGTTCCCCAGGGCTGGAGGCAGCTCTGCAGGGTGGGGGGGGGTCTCACCTGAGCGGGGCAGAGGGGGGAGAACCCCCTCCCTCAACCCACTTTTGGTGCAGCACAAATTTAGTTGCAGGATTCCTGTTTGGAGGTGATGGTGTTTGGAGGAGCTGAGCCACAGGAGCCATTTCAGCCCCGGGTTGTGCCCACAAAGGGCTGTGCAGAGCTGTGACCTCTCAGCTGAAGTCAACATTTTCTTCCTGCTGCTTTCAGAGGCAGAAGGAGCCTCTCTGCGGGGTGCAAGTTGTTTTCTCTCTTAAATATGGAATGTTAACACTCCCCCGAGTATGACTGCAGTACAAAGTTGAGTCTAAAATTGAGTAAGTTTTAGGCCTGGAGCTTCCTTCAGCCAGTGCTTGTCGCTGCCAGGGCTGCTTTTCCCACCAGCTACACATTTTCGTGCTCAACACCATAATGTGACAGCGAGGAAGAGTCCTAGAGGCTAAATAAGCAAGTAGGAAGGTACAGACACCGCTTATTTTTTATTTATGGGTCCCTGAAAGCGTGATGCATATTCTGCTTCTCTTGGAGGACTGAAGGAGGGCAGAGCTGGTGTTTCTCAGAGGTTTTTAACTCCTGGTTTCTCACACTGGCTGCCTCTCCCTCGGATCCAGCTGGTGAGAATTCCAGCTCTCTGACACGGTCAGCGATGGAACAGATAACACTGACCTCTGTTTGCAGGACAAGTGCTGCCAAGTGCAAATTATCCAGGCTGGATTGAAATGAGCTGTAACATCAGCTCCGTGGCTTTGTGCCTCCCGGGCAGGTGGCACCGTGTGGGGTGACATGGGCACCCTCCCCCCCGGTGCTGCTCACTGGGCAGAGCTGTTTGATTTGCTCCAAACATTCATTTCACAGGGTGCTGTGAAGGGGATGAGGGACCAGAACGGGCCCTGGGGTTGAATTAACTCAGGGGTGGGGCTGACGGGGTGGGTGAAGATGTTTGGGTGCTGCTGCTGCCCGGGTGAGTGTCCTCCTGCTCCAGTGGGGTTTGGGGTGGCTGTGGCTGGAGCTCTGGTGCTGTGGGTCTGTTGCAGCTGCTGGAAGTGCTGCTGGACACGTGGAGAAGGTGGGATGGGATCCATAGAATCACAGAATCAGCTGGGTTGGAAGGGACCTCTGAGATCATCCAGTCCAACCCTTGATCCAACCCCGCCGTGGTTCCCAGCCCATGGCACTGATGCCACATCCAGTCTGTCCTTAAACACCTCCAGGGATGGAGAATCCCCCACTTCCCTGGGCAGCCCATTCCAATGGCTGAGCACCCTCTCTGCAAAGAAATTCTTCCTGATATCCAACCTAAACCTCCCCTGGCACAGCTTGAGACCGAGCCCTCTTGTCTCGCTGATGGTTGCCTGGGAAAAGAGACCAACCCCCCCCGGCTCCCCCCTCCTGGCAGGGAGTTGCAGAGAGTGAGGAGGTCTCCCCTGAGCCTCCTCCTCTCCAGGCTGAGCCCCCCCAGCTCCCTCAGCCTCTCCTCCCAGCACTTGTGCTCCAGTCCCTTCCCCAGCCTCGCTGCTCTTCTCTGCCCCTGCTCCAGCCCCTCCAGGCCCTTCCTGAGCTCAGGGCCCAGAGCTGGACACAGCACTCCAGGGGTGGCCTCACCAGCGCTGAGTCCAGGGCAGGAATCACTTCCCTGGACCTGTTGGCCACACTGTTCCTGAGCCAGGCCAGGATCCATTGGCCCTCTTGCCCCCCTGGCCACACTCGGGCTCCTGTTCAGCTCCCTGCCCAGCCCAACTCCCAGCTCCCTTCCTGCCTGGCTGCTCTCCAGCCCCTCTGGCCCAGCCCGTGGGGCTGCCGGGGGTTGTTGTGGCCAAAGGGCAGGACCCGGCCCTTGGCCTGGTTGAACCTCATCCCGTTGGAATCAGCCCAACTCTCCAAGCTATCCAGGTCCCTCTGCAGAGCCCTCCTGCCCTCCAGCTGATGGACACTGCGTGTCTGTCAGTCCATTGTCCGTGTTCAGGCCTCGGCTGCCCGGCACCTTCCTGGACAAGGTGTGTGGATCCACGTGCCTCCGGTGTCCCACGGAGATGGGAGCCGGGGGAAGAACAAGGGTGGGCAGAAGTGTGGAGACAGAAGAGTCACATCATCCGTGTGATGAGCAGAGCAGGGCTCAGCCTGGGAATTCCACAGCTGCTGAGGAGCACAGAAGGGCAGGGGGGCGAGGTTGGCTTTGCCTTCCAGAAATCCAGAGCATTAAACTGGGCTGACAGGCTTTGAAATGAACCCCTCAGCCAAGACTAAACTGTCTTCTCAAGGGTGGAGGAGGAGTGAACCAGGAGGAAAACAAAGTGACAGGAACAAGGGAAGGCTGAGGGGCAAAATGCAAACCCAGGGACTGGGAGGGGACACGGTGGCTGCTGACAGGGACAGGCTGTTGCTGGCTCGACATCCTCTTGCCCTCTTGCTCCTCACCCTCAAGAGCAGATGCTCCCAACAGCAACATCTGCCACCACAGAGGGGACACGGACACCAGCCTGGCCCTGCAGCCAGCTGGGAGAGCAGCAGGAGGAAACACAGCCTGAGGGAGATGGGATAGAAATGTTGGATGACTTGGGTCCTGGGGAGGGAGGGAAGTGGCTTTTGGTGCCGGGAAAACCCGCTGTGGCCACGGGGTGAGGTGGGCAGTGTGACTGTGTGAGGGAAGCAGAGGGTCCTCCTCTTTTCCTCCCACTGGGAGACCTTCCTGGTGCCTCCAGGTTCTGGCAGAGGTCACGGTGCTCCGTCATCCCTCTGGAAAGGTGGAGAAACCAACAGAAAAATCAACAGAGAAATCTTTTCACCCTGTTGGGAGATTTTTAAATGAACTTTTGCTGCCTCAAAAAATTCCTGGACGGTTCTCATAGTTCGTTGGTCTGAACCCCACAAAGTGTGTTAGGGGGGATCTACCAACTCTCATCCTTCTCTAACTCCATTTCCCCCCTTCCCACAACGCCCCGACACGGAGCAGACCCGCGGCATTCCCGTTTTATCCTTCTCCCTGCTCCGGCCGGGGCCGTTCCGGGGTGCAGGACCCCCCGCCCTGACTCCCCCCGTGTCTCCCTCCCGCAGAAGTGTCTCCGGCTGAACCCCGACGTTCCCGTGTGGGTGTCCAAGCAGCGCATCCTGTGCACTCTGAACCACAGCCTGAAGGATGTGCTCAACTACGGGCTCTTCCAGCCGGCCTTCAACGGCAGGGCCGGCAAGTTCCTGGACGAGGAGCGGCTGCTGCGGGAGTACCCCCTGAACCCCGACACGCCCGTGCCCTACCTGGAGGTAACCCCCTGCTCGAGCACATTCAATTCCGTTTCTGGTTTAGTTTTTCTCTTATTTTATTTATTTTCTCTTATTTTCTTTTTTTTTATTTTGCGTATTTTATTTTATTTCTTATTTTTTATTTTATGTTGTTTTCTTGTTTTATCTTATTTTCTTATTTTCTTACGTTCTTACTTTATTGTCTTATTTTATTTTTTTATTTTCTTATTTTCTTTTCTTATTTTCTTATTTTATTTTCTTATTTTC